CGGTGCTGTTCGTGACCCGAATTGGTTGTGAACAGAAGCGTTCGTGACCCGAGGTACCACTTGTTTTATCTATACAGCCCTTTCTGGGTTGCATCCTGGTTATTTTGGGACCATCTGACTCAGGTACAGTTTGCATGCCCAATATTGTACAATCTAAGAAAGCAGACTGAGAATCTCTCCCATGCGAGATATCAAGGGGGAGGGAGCTAGGGAACAGGGCTTCTTGGTGCCATCCCCTCACTTTGGAACAGGCCATCCTGAGCTGAGAATGGCCTATGCCCTGTTGCATTTTGAAAACCATCCATTTTCCATGTGCCTTCAGGGTGCAGTACAACTCATTTGGAAGCAGCTGACTTAGGGATGAAGTATTTTGTAGTTTAGGGGCCATGTGATGGATTTAATCTTTTATGTTCTGTGTCACATTATGGTTTTGTATTATTGTGTCCTAAGAGGCAGCTGCATATAAATTATTATAAATAAATAAATTTAGAACTATAAGCGAGCAACTATATTTTATTATAGTTGCTCACTTATAGTTCTAAATGTATTTTAATTAATTTATAATAATGTAGATGTACACTATAAAAGGAACTTACCCCATGTTTCTGAATGGCAACATTTGTAAGATGGACGAACATGTTGTCCAATTCACTTGTACTAGGGGTATATTTTACTGTGCAAAATCGACAAAACCCAAGTTTATACCTTAAATATAAAGAAAATATATTGTTATCTAATTTAAATGTTCTTAAAGAGACAGCTTTTTTGGCAGCACTTACTTTGATCTCTTTCTGAAGGCTTCATTATTCTTTTAATCTTTATTGTATTGTTGCCTATTGTGTTACTGTTGTTTTAATTTATAAATTGCCTGACAAATATTTTTGTTTAAGGGTCCAATACCAATTCTATGAATAAGGAGTAAACCAAATATGGTTCAAAGGGTAAAATTGAAATCTGGTGGGATTTGTTTAAGAAGAAAACAATAGAAAGAGAGGAGTTGTAATATATGTTTTGCACCCGCTCCTGCCCCAAAATTCGGATGGTGATGTGGTTGACAATATCTAGGTCAAAATAACTGGATGAATAAATAAAATCAACACTGCTGTTTGTATCTAGTATTGCATCAGCCAGGGAGAAGAGGTAGGTCATCAAACGGGATCTTCCAAAGAGGTATGAAGTGCAACAGAAGGTGGTATTGGAGAGGGGGAGATGCAGGACAGAATGGACTCTATGGTGATCTTCCCATGGGATAAGAGAACTGACAACAGAATTTCCCCTCTTCTTGCTCCTTGACAAGAAAAGCAACAATGAAAGGAGGGGGAACAGGTCTCTTCCCTCCTTCCTCCTCTCTCATCATAGGCAGAAGCAGGAGTGGAGAAAGGGGGCAGAGAGAAGCAGCAGAGAATGGCTCCTTTGGTACTGTTTTTCCCATGGGATTGGAGAACTGACAGCAGAAGAGCTGTGGGTCTTCTACTACCAGATACTGGCACTGAAGGAGATGTTCTCCACCCCACCTCTCTCCTCCTCCGATTCCTATGCAAACAAAATCCCTGTTTTGCTTCATTGCCAAGACAGACTAGGGGTTGGAAGGGTGATTCCCATACTGAATAATAGCATTTAGCACTGCCATGTGAAAGGATCCTGACTCAGCAGTTTTCTATAGCTGCAAAAAAATTAATATAATTTTAAACTATAGTTTCAAAATAAGAGAAAGTAATAATTCCACTTTATTCTGCATTGGTCAAACCCATCTTCAATACTATGTCCAGTTCTGGATACCACATTTTAAGAATGTTTTAGACAAACTGGAAATTATTAGATTAGGACACTATAAACAGAAATTGAAGTAGCTTTTAGGGGAAAAGATTAAAGGGGATAAGATAGAACTTTTCAAACAGCAGAAAGGATGTTACACAGAAAGTCAAGATTATTCTCCATTGCTCCAGAGTGCTGAACATGGAGTAGTAGACTTTAATTATAGTATAGGAAAGCATGTTGCAGTTGAATCTCAGGAAAAAAAATCTAAACAGGAATAGCAATTGGTCAGTGAAACCAGAAAGGTGGTGGATTCCCTTTTTTTAGCTATGCTTAAGCGTAAGGTAAACAATCAACTATCATGGATGGTCAGATTCTTCCACTGAGCACTGGGCTTGATGGCCTAAATGTCTGCTTTCAACTCTACAATTCTATAAAGCCAGAAAAAAATCTATCTAAATATTTTTAGCTCTTAAAGGAACAATATTTTGGAATACTTACCTGTAAGGTGTAGTTAAGGAGAGATAACTGGAATTTATCATAATGTCCCTAATAATGTTTCCAGGATGCAATCATAGACAATAACCTTAATTAGAATGTTATTTTCTGATTTTGTAATTATTATTTATGTGATAAACTCCCCTTTTGGGGGGGGAGAAAATCTATTACATTCATAATTGCTGGGATTTGTGGATTTTATCAATGTTTGCTGTCTTACTACAATTTTTATACACTTTTATTATGTGTTTTATTTGATTGAATTTTATTGTGGTAAGCCACGCTGGAAGGAATTCTTCCCTTAGAGACAGGCTAGTAATTTAAACTCCTATAGCTTCCTAATATGCAAAAGGCAATATAAGAAAGTTCAAATGCAACTGTCCACAACTGGAAAAAATTGTTCCTTATTCACTTTTATCCACCCCCCGCCCCCAGGCAGAAAATAGAACAAAAACTGAACTTACATATAGCACCTCAAAGGACGGTAAGTAGATACTAATACATATAAGCGTAGGTCAAATTTCTTCCCACCAATCAGAAGTGGATTACTTATATACAGGGAAATCACATATGCTTCTTTAGAGGACTGAGATACAAACCTAAAGACATTAATATTTCGTTATTTAAAATTATTAAATTATTTTTCTTCTTTTAAAAGTAATAAAGGCAAAGCCATATACACCAGGATGGAAGGTTTTTGTTTTGTTTTTTTAGCCAGAGCCTTGATTTTTTCAGCCTCAGGCAAAGCCATATGTCAGCATCTAAGTCTTACTGCAGACTTACTGCCTTACTGCACTGTAAATTGCTTCCTTCTTTTTCAAGATAGCATGGAAATGCAGCACATGGGCAATGCAGGGAATGAACCATCTCTTCATTCATCAGCATCTCACTTCCCATCTCACTATAAAGGAAAGAAATGGGAGCCTCTTTCTTTGCACAAGAACAAGGATGCCGCAAGATAACTGATTTCTTTCATTACTGAATCTTTGCATTTTGGATATTTAAAGATAAATAGGTTTTTATATTTTATCTCTTCTTTTATTGTAAAATTTAGTTTTGATCAATCTGTTGTGAGATTGGACTGTCTCCCAAGAAAATACTGAAATCCTCTAGCCACGTGTCTCTAAACTACATTGTCAGGAGTTTACCTTACTGAAAGTATGACTTCCCTCTCCTCATTGTTACCTTTTAATCAACAGAAAGAGAAGGCAAAACATGCATGCCCTGTATCTTTCACATACTGACATTAGGGGTAGAAAGCCAGGTAAGGTGCCTTCTAGAACTACCAGGCTCCTATCCTAAAACAGGAGACAGAGCTATGGGGTGAAGGCCCAGAGGGCTTTGGGAGACTAGGTTTGAGACCTCCAGCCTTCTGCACTAAGCTATTCTGCTAGGGCTATGCGTTACAAACTACAAATACGTTTCTCAACCAATGTATTTGTTGTGGCCATGAAACTTCCTAAATGTGTCCTAAATGGCAAGTAGTTTCAAGTGTCATGAACACAAAAAACTGCCCTTCAAGCATGAGAGTATTTATCTACATCTGGCAAAAGGAGATTCATGCAATTCTTTTTTGCAAAGAAAGCTTTCTTTTTTTTAAAAAAAAGTCTTTACTACAAACTAATTAAATTAAGACAAAGCCATTAACACAGCAACATTAGTGTAAATTATAAGTCTACTTTAGGCTTAACATATAAAAGCACCTGCAAATTTTTACTATAAAACTTAATAAGTTTTTTAAAACAGTTATGAGTTTCTGATGAAGGGAAAGTCTGGAATAGCATAAATTTAATCAAATATGGTAGGGTGAGATACAACATAAACATAAAAAACATTTATTTCCTAAGAAACTTACGTAGAAGTTTTGCTGTCTCGAGACCACTTTTTAATTTGGGAAAGCTTATTGATGAGAAAAATTCCTTTCCCTTGAGCTTTTCCACAAGGCTTCATAATCCATGTACTGGAAGGGTTTTTTCTGAATTCTTCAACAAATAAGTTATAATCAGCTGGAAGCATAAAGGTAACAGGAACAAAGTCTAGAAGGGATACAAGAGAATTTAAAACAGCATGTTAAATCAGATAGATAGATAGATTGAATGAATGAATCCTCTCTTCAATTATTATCCATTTCAATCTTTTTAATTTTAGATAAGGTAATAGCAATCATTAGATATCTAACTTTCCATTTTAAAATAAGAATAAACAGAAGTGGGTTTATCTAACTTTGTTAACAAGTTAGATAAAATGTTTTATGAGAATTATCCTTTTTTAATCCTAAAAAGCCTCATATGTATCTATCTGTAAAATTTTCCATGTTTTGTCCTACACTGATACAGCTACTGCGTTTCAGTCCTATCTGAGAAACTCCAATGAATGCTCATTACCTTTTTTGCCTTTCTTAATTTATAGAATTCAAAGTCTGGAGGTATTATTCAGTCAGATTCTATGATTCTGTGCTAAAAAAAGAGGATTACACAGTACTAAATTAATTAGTTGGCTGCCACTGTCAGGCCTGATTTGTTTGTTTACTGAATTTATATAGCCGCCCATCTCACTTGCATGTGACTCTGGGCAGCATACACAATTAAAACAAAAGCTAAATCAATATAATTTATCCATTAAAACAGTTAAAAACTATAATAACAAAAAGACAGGGAACAGTGCAATCAGCTTATACCAACCATTTAATGGGTTCCATGCTTTCATGGGATTCTCAGGCCCAATGGCAAAACCAAATTCTTACCTCTCATTTCTCTCAGATATTGCAAGCACATTCCAATATTTTTTTTAATTCCATCCATCCATTCATTCCTTACATATGGAACTAAATACAGGAAGTCCCTGGGTTAAGAACACCCAGTTTACAGATGACCCATGGTTAAGAACAGAGCCTATTGTAGCAAAATTCGAGTTAAATACACAATGATTTGAATTAAATACACAATGGTTCGAGTTAATTACAGAATACTACTTATACAGTATTATACAATAATACTGTTCCAGCTTACATGCAAATTGGACTTAAGGACAGACCTTGGGAATGAAACTGGGGACTACCTGTACATGGAAGTAAATTCCACTGAATTCAGGGGAGGCTTACATCCAACCAAAGTTAATGTAATTTACAGCTGACCTTGGGAAAGCTGTGAGAGAGCTGCTAAGGGAGAAAGGAACAAACTGCTAAGTGGGGTTTTGGAGAAGAGATTGCACAGTCCTGAGATAGATGGAATGTATTTTACAATACTGTAATGGTGTAGCAGTTAAGGTTAACAGTTAATTAGGAGTGGGGGGACCCAGGTTCAAGTCCACCATCCATCACAGAAGCTCCCTGGGTGACTTTGAGCCAGTCACTCTCTCTCAGCCCAACTCACCTCACAGGGTTGTTGCTGTGGGGAAAAATGGGAGGCTCTGTGTGCACTGCCTTGAATTTCTGAATTAAAGGTGTGACTGAATAGGTAAATACTTCTGAACTGTTTGGTTATGCCATGCCCCCCTTCAAGATTTTGGACCAAATACAGTTTCTTAATGGATAATTCAATTTCATAAAAAGGGTTATATCAAGGCTGTACATTTCTAAATATATGGATGTCTTTCATCCGCATAAATAGACATTTGAGAACTTACCAATTATATTGTCAATTCTAGATGACTTCAAATGGCCTGTGCCTAGATCAAGCAACACTGTTCACACATTCTTTTAATAAAGCAGTGGCTAAAAATAGACTTGTTCAAAGTTCCAATTTAAGGTAAAGATACAAGTCAAGTCTGTGTGCACATCACCCCAGTTTTCTCTTAATGCTTTCTCATATCCTTATTGGGAAACAAAGGGCTACTATCAATTCTTCTTTGGTGAATCTTTCATGAAACAGTTTTGCTCATCAACCCCCATTCCTATGCTTCATCCTAAAGGTGAAGCCAGTGTTTTTTTTTAAGTAAAACCCAATGTAATCACTCTGTTTCTCAAGACTAGCCTACTGAGAATATAAATACTGCCTATCCCTAGTTTAGAAGCATCCAGCAGACCTTTACTGAGGTTAAAAACCTAAGTAGGGTTGAAACTGGTTAGCACATGAATGGGAGGGAACCAGGTAATCTAGGGCTACAGGCTGGGAAAGCAAGAACAAAAAAAAAATCCCCATAATGATAAAAGAAGACAATAGCAAGCCACTTTGGTATTGTTGCATATACATAAAGTCACCAGAACCTGTGCTCAAAATTGAAGATACTTGCCTTTATTAGTTTATATAAGAAAAAGTTAGACTAGCAAAAAAGCTTCTAGCCACTCAAGGATATTGTTATAATCTAGAGTTTCATTACATTATTGCTTAGATAGTCACTAGTCTTGAGCAGAGGAAAATGAGTAAACCACATATGGCAGTGAAAACTGATTTAGAGGGTGCCTTCCAAATGTTACTGACATTCCTGCTCTGAATCTTGGATATACAACCCATGTCACCCTCCTCACTTTTTCTGTGGCCCTAAGCTGCCCATCAGTTTCTGCCAATTCCCAACAACCTGTATCACTGCCACCATCAGATTTCAGCAGATGCAATGCCATCCCTGTCCTGTTCTACCACTGACCCTGTGCTAGTATCATTCACACGTTACCTCCTTGCTCTTCCACTTCTCCCTTGATTCTCCTCAGTTCTTTACAAGGGTTTCACTCTCATGTTTTGCTCTCCTATCACTTCCCACTAACTGCAGCAGTACTTGTGGCTCAAGGCCATTTTGTAATTAAGGGGGTGGGGGTGGCATGAAATTACAAAAGGTACTCCAGAGAGAGGAATGGCTGCTGCCAGACTTTTTTTAAACTGCCCAATTAATGTCAATATGAAGGCATCCAACAATATTCATTCTGGCTCCTAAATGCAGGGAGTACTGTCAGAGTCTGGTGGCAAATACATTTTGTGATTTCCAAGAATGAGACAACTGTGAAGCATGTTACAATAAAAGATAAAATAAAAGAGCCAATTTGGTCTAGTGGTGAAGGCTCCAGGCTAGAAAGCAGGAAACGGGGACTTCTAGTTCCACCTTAGGCATGAAAGCCGGCTGGGTGACTTTGGGTCAGTCATTCTCTCTCAGCCCAACTCACCTCACAGA